TTGATCGAACAACACGTGGGCAAACATTTATCACGTTTCACGTTGACTTTGTAAACATGGTAGATCAATTACTATTTGTATTATTGAAAGGGGGGAAATTGAATCTCCATCTACAATTAAAAGTATAATTTGGTTGGAAAATAAAAATGTTGTCTTCTTCATCTTCTTATTATCTACATTGATTTATTGCCAGTTATTGTTGGTTTACGTCTCGTATCCTATTTAAAATGAAGCTTAAAATAGACATTTCGTAACTATTCTCAAAATAACAACTAAAGGCAATTACAATAGTTAAGGTAGTTTTAATTTTCAATAGTGCCTTGAAAACTGTTTTATGGGGGATGAAGTGGTACAGTAGTATATTGGACAAACTTTCTCACATAAAAGATAAGAATGTTGGTTTAAGGTTTGCTTAGGTTGGTTTAGAAAGCTTATCATTAATAAAACACGTGGTTCTTGGTAATGTATGTTTAAACATTTCCATTGGACTAAGTTAACTGTGTGTGGTGTTTTGAGCCTATATAGGGTTTTTTAATTATTAGGGTGCATGCTAAGAAACGTTAGCAAGTTTCCGTTTTCAATAACTTAGGCAACGAATGAGAATATTAATTGGAATATTATACGGTAGGCAAGCGACAAGGTTAAATTAAAAGTTTCAACATTGAAGATCAACATTTTTTGATGCTGTAAACATCACTTAACAATCAACACTGTAACCTAACACGGTAAAATGTTTTAATTAGTGATTTTCTCACTATGACACGCAGACAAGTACTGTTGATTCGACTGTTGATTGGGCTATTTATTCCTTACTTTGTTCCTAACTAAATTATATGAATTCCAATACCTGCGTATTGCTCATGTACATCATGGATAAAAACAGTCTTGTCGAAAGGTCGAGAATTTACAAAGAGCCAAATTTAGCTCAATGCCTCAGGGACTTTTTCCTACAGAACTATTTCGGTAAAAACGACGAAGCCTTGGCAATTGTGTGACATAATATCTCTATCCTTGTTCTGTGATAATATTCCTCAAGGTTTATCGCTGGTGTACGGCTTAGTGAGTATTTGGCAAGCAACAAGTAATCAAATTGCGCGATAAACGGATTGCCAGCATTTCCGACAAGCGCGGTGCGCCATGGCTTCCTCAAGGCGTGCCCAGCTGTGCAACCAGCTGATTCTGACAGCTGACTGCAGCTGGCAAGGCCGCGGGTGAATCATGCTCCATTGTCGCTACTGGCTGCAATCGCCACCTTGATTTCGTCTCTAAGAAATGTGTGGCAGCAACTATGAATGCAATCGTTTAGTTCATCTCTTTACACTTCGCACAGGTCGGATGAAGATCATAGCGCTGCTCAAGCATCAACAAAATATTTGATTTGAGCAGAAATTAGTTAAAACAGTACATGAAAGTGCAAACAGCACGTCAAAACTACATACACGTTATTCAAAGGACACATACACAACGCTACCTTCTACTTAAATACCTATGAATCAAACAGGCTGAAATCTGAACGTAACCAACACACCCGGAAACTGAGTACCTATTACACGACTAGAAACAGACACACGCGCGGTTCAAGTACTAGTGTCACTTGGTGGGAACCGAACCACCCGGACCACGAATCCACGTAGTTATCCAAGCCGGGTCACTGACCTCATGACATAAGTTGGGAACCGTGATGTTAATTACACAGGAGAGTATGTGACGTGATGAGCTAAGCTTACGTAAGCCATGCAAATGTGAACACTTTACCCTTCACCGCTCTCTAGCCTTGTAACAACCGATACTTCACACTACACACTACCGAGCCTGCTCGTGGCGGTAGTGTGTGTTAACTCAAATTCAAGTGTTGTAAATCGTATTTCAGTGGCTATATCAGTGTTCTTCGACCCATGATTTCCAATAACGATTGAAACGACTTCCCAAAAGGCAACATGAAGTTAGAGCTAAAATAAAATATTTTTTAATATGCCTACAGTAACTCCAACAATCACACTTTTCGATACGACCTTGTTGTGTTTATATATCGGTGGGTATAACCAACGAACAATGATATAACTCAAGCTTGACCGAGGATGAAAAACGACTCGTTTCGCAGGACTCTTGGGTCGTGTGGAAGCTCAAACTTCTTTATTGTTGAAAGTGATTTAGCCTTCTACGTAATAAAAATATGTTATCTTATTTTGCTTTAAAAGTCCATCACCAACATCGTCCAACTTGTAGCAGTAACATTGTCCTCATCGTAGCAGTTGAAATATTCAAGCACGAATACTAGAAAAAGAAAAGACGTGGAGATAAGCTAATGTATTCCGTTTGATATTTATCGAGTTAGTTGAAGCACACAGTCTGTGGTTTAGGTCAGTGAACATAAGGATCATACTCCATTATAGGCGTCATTATGACATGAACAACGTCAATGATGGTTAGAATTTGCCATGCATATCGATATACCGTAACTGACACTGTGGACTAATATCGGCAATCAAAAAGATAGTTTTTTTGGCAATTTTCATAAGTTTCGTATAATTTTTCGCGCTGGTTAGATTTGAACGGAACAATTAACTACTGTAGAGCCAAAACATCAATGAGTCACGATTTGTATTGACAATCAACACAATTTACTTACACGACACAATCGGTGATTTATCCAACTTCTTCACACTAATAAAATATAGTTCTACAACATATCTATTCCAACAACAAATTTGCGGTGCACAGGATTGCTCAGAAAGCATCCCCTCGAAAGGTACTGCTCCAAAATATTTCAAAATATATGTACGGCCAGACATAAGTCTGGAACTTATTTCATCGGAGGGCACTGTTCCGAAAGGAACTGTTTTGAAAGGTAATGTTCCAAAAGGTTTCGGATCGGTGTCTTTCAGAGTAACGTTGGTACCTGCAATGGTAGATCAAGTCGCGATAAGCCTGGGTGGTGCCACAGAAAGCGCGGGTGTATCTGTCGTTGCTGGACCCCCCGTGATCCCCCAGCTGTCATTTGCTGCACCAAGGAGTGATAATAGACCCCTCTCGGCGACCGCTATCCCCCAATTCCCCGGATCTCGGTCGTTTTTTTCGTCCCCATCAATCCCCCAGTTCGCCACGCGCTACTTTGCCCACGCGTCTGTAACTGCACGGCCTGAATTAATTAAGCGGAGGAAATTTACGAGCGCGCCGCTGCAGAACGGAGCGTAGCAACACTTCCCGGTGGATCAGGGTATGAAACACGGTAACGCACCATGCAATGCTCGAATACGAGCAACATTCTGGGCACTCGACAGCCGAGGTGTGATAGTCTCCTTTATATATGTAGGCAGCTGGCTCGACTCCAACACAGAGCGATTCTGGAGATGTTGTAACACGAAAGTTGTACTTAAATCAAGTACTCGCATTAACCAGGATTTGATCCAACCTAATTTGGGTTAACACGTTGACGTTATCAAAAAGTATAGCCTATACGCATTACCATAAGTATAAACCAAGTGACCTCGCCATTAAGTGTCATACATTTAAAATCATGTCACTCATATTGTAAAAACACGTGTCAGATCTGTCTACAAAATGACGAACGACCGTGATCTACATTTCAACTTGTCTAAAAACTTGTTCACCGCTTCGGATCAGTGGGTGCATCAGCGAGTCTTGAGTCGATTTATTCTAAAGTCTTAGTAGAACTATAATCCATTTGTGTTTATTTTATATCAATCACCAGCAATGCTTAGTTATGCTTAGTGTCTACGCTTAATGATGATAACAAATCAGCAGTCAAAGATAACAGTTTTATCGTACACGCCACGATATTTGCTTTCACAGTATGGGACTGACTGGCCCATCTAAATTAAAACCAACAAAACACTTGCATCATATCCATGTACGAAATAGAACAAGAAGGTTGTAAGAACAAGAAGTCGGTTCTTTAAATCCTATGCAAAGATAAAACAAATTTTGTTCTATAGAAATTGTGACAGTTGGTATAAATAAAGTCCTCGTTCACACAGACTATTTCTACACCCTTATACGATTATTAAAAAAAAATCAATACTGCTAGTCCGTATAATGGAGGGAGGATTATTTCAGTATCCAAAAATCAATTCTACAGGAAGTATTTGTTACATGTTAGGCACACATTTCCATTTTTTGGTACAGTTTTCACGTACCGTAATAACAATTTTCTATGACGGCAAAGATCCATTGCTCTGCTAGAGACAAGTGACAACGTCGTGATAGATAGGCCTACTGCCGATATTTGGCAGATTGTAGGTAACGCAGGTCAAGGTCTGTGATAACCATCGCGTGAACTTCACTGCGTGTTGACTGTTGATATTCGACCGCATTGTTAGTTCAACGTGCAATGCCAATGCCACGAAGTTTCTCTCACTTCCTGGCTTTTGTCAAATAGTTTAAATCCCGTTTACCTGATATAAAATCAGTCTTAACTAGCTTTAACTTTTATGAACGATTTGTGAGAGATTCAATCATTTTCTTATCCAGTTTATCTCAATGATAAGCTTGCTTAAATGCCTGATGTCTGACTTGTAACATGATTAGCATGCAAAGAAAACTTTACAACTAGTGGATGAGGGAAAAAATACATAACTACAAGCATGGGATAATGAGAAGGACAAGTATCTTTTAAGTAAAAGTGTTTTATGACGAGTATTCTACAAAATATTTGTGGAAAATTAGATTAAATATTTATATTTAAAACTCCGAAGTCCACGAATCTACATTATTTGACCGCGGAAACATCACACTGAAATTACTAGCCAGTTAAACTTGCAGCAAATTAAATTTACCGCTACACTACTGTAGTCAGCGAAATTTGTATACTTATCGAACTCCTAAACGCTGCAGTTCAGTGGTTACAGAGTAACTGTCTTACAACACTATGTTCGTCCTAGTTTATAAGTGTCCAGCTACTGTCTAAATTTAAACTCTCAAACTATTGCAAGCATATGCATTGATATTTTAAAAGTAGTAGTTAAAGGAAAAGGTCCTACCTATCAGTTTGCAGAAGCAGTCGATTGAAGGAACGGACATGGTCACAGGCGGGCATGTTGGGGATCCGCGACCACTGCAGGCAAAGCCAGTAATTAAACACTGGTAGAGATAATTCACATACTTGACCAATTACAAGTAGATTGACTACAACACAAGTACGTCACTATTTCAATTATACTGTACACACTAACTTTACTTATCAAAATCATTCGTTGAACTTAAACAATCTAGACCGAGGAATCGAAATAAATATTACAGTATGATAAAGTACTTTGTCCGCTTAGACAAAGGATTACTAGTTTCAGATCATTGTTACAAATTATCAAATCCAAAATCAAATTGAATGTACAGTAGTCTAAAAACACCCAACAAACGTGTCCGTCATAGATACACCACCACCAAATAGACACGGCGAACAAACGTCCACCGTTTTATGTGTCATTGTGTGAATTATGAAAAAGACGTAGTTATTGGAAGTGTTTTTACAAATAAACTTTCCGTTAACTCTACGAAAAATAAACCACCGCAAGACATTTCGATTAACATTCCTGGCACCAATGACGGTCCTAAAATACACAAAATCACCCATTTCCGGAGTGACTGCCGCCACGCAACATTACATTAGTTACTAACAAGGAACGGTCGACCGGCGTTGCTTCCTAGTACAGCACATAGACTAGGCACTGTTACCATTACATCTCTCCTCCCTGCTTCCTGCTTTCGCCCACCACCACTTTCCTGGGACAATGTATCAAAATTCCTGGATAGAGCAGTTTACACGCAAAACAGTAAAATAGTATAGGCCTACAGGCATTACAACGCAAGTGAACTAGAAGTTGTTGAATAATTGGGACATAACTTTGATATTTGACGATAGGGCAACGGGAACTGAGTGGGTTCAGAGAAAAAATAGTTTTGATTTTGTTAGAAACTTTCATTACGCAATGAATATCTAACGCGTTGATGACCGAAGTCACTTTCGATTGGATTATCGAAGGAACAATGACAAAACTTCAGGATTTATCGGCGAAGATGACTGAAGGTTAAGTTAGAAAGAAATACTTAAGTTTGCTGATGTCTAAGATAAGCTAGGTTTCTTTAGCCATGGTAATTTCCAGTGGTGGTGTTTGCAGATATACGATTCGAAACTACCGACTTTTCCCAGGATTAAACGGATAACCTTCAGATTGCTGGACGAGTACCACAATTACTCAGTACTGTATATCCTTTTATATTTGTTAGAGAAACGAGTCTAAGATTTGAAAAAAAAAATCGAAACTATACATTTTTTATCAACGCAGAAATCTTACTGAAACACATTGAGATGGCGAAACAAACTTGAAAGAAGCACTGACTCTTAAGGTTTCGATCAAAATACAATTAAGTGCAACGCAACAGTGTGCCGGTACTTCGTTAGTTTTGTTTGTCTATATAACTTGTTGAGTGGAAAATCGTTCAATATTGTGTAACTGCCTAACGATGTTTAAAATATACATTCAGCGCTTTTGGTATATTTCGGAAAATTTGCGGTACGATACAGGGTAAAATTATAAAAGTTCGCGGGTTGAAACTCGAAAAAAAAACAATGTTCAAAGAATGATTTCTGATGTACGATGGCAGAACAACCTACTATATATAGGTAGGGACAAGTATTCAAGGTTGGGCTTCAAAAAGTCACACAGCCTACACCCTGTCGACAATAGACTATAATGTCCCGACTGTAGACTGACGCACACAAACACACAACACAACACACTCGAGTACAGCACATTACAACAAACCGGCAACAGCTATTTAGAGTCTACTAGTGTACATGTTGCTTGACATCGAGCAATTGTCAAGTACCGGTGGCGGTATTATACAGAAGTTATTTTAAAACTACAGTAATAACAGTCATAATTTTCGATGAATTTAAAAGACCCGACTAAATGCTTATTTAACTAATTGAAATACTCACGCTATTTAATTGCGCTTTGAAATAATAGACGCTTCTTGTAAAAATATTTTAGCATTTTTTGGACCCGGCCTTATATTTTAGTGTTTTCTACAAATGTTTCCCGACTTAAAAGTTGTTACCAGTAAACATTTCTTGATGTATTTATTTGATCTGACTTTAGGTAGGTTTACTTTACCACTTTGACAACATGATGTGTATATTCTTCATGGTTTTTTTTACTTAGAAAATAAGTTGCTTTGCATAACTGGCAAAAATTATTCATCTCCCCAAGTGATTGTGCACCTGGATTCCTTACTGTGAAACCAGGCCTCTCTTCTACTCTTCTCATAAGTATAAGTCTCCTCCTACTGTTTTCAATAATTCTCCTTTAAATTCAACAAATTTTCTTTTCTTCCATCAAAATTGTTCAGATTTGCTTAAAACCTCCTAAATATTACAAACATTAATATTTACTCCACAAAAGCTGGTGAGTTTATTTTTATATACAGCTGTTTTTGTTTTTAAATTTTTTTAAACGTAATTCTTATGGAGAAAATGCGACCTGTGAGAGCGTCTCGTGTCCTTAAAGGTAAGAGATTTTGAATTCTAAAACCTTTATGCAAAACTACGAACTGAGACGAATTATTTGACACCTTAAACATAAAATCGGTCCAGATATAACGGAGAAGTTTTTTTTTTTCACAAAAAACATCCCTCACGTATTAATATAAGAGATTCTAGACAAATTCAATGTTATTTTGAGTGTAAAGACATTTTTTAGCGAATTTCCCATGTAGGGAATAGGCTATTACCGTAGTACTCATGGTAAGACCTGGACCCCGGACCGATTTACTTTTTCGTTTTGAGGTCCCTAGAGGCCAAAAACACCATCCGTTCAAATTCATATATATAAATATGTGTCCGTTAGCGCGATAACTCGAGCAAAACTCATCCGATTTTGATGAAATTTGGTACAAACGTGTACACCTACGTTTATTCGAACGAGTTCGCGAACCAGCATGATCCGACTATGGGAACAGGTGTTTATAGGGGGTTTTATGGGGTAAAAATTGGTTTTTCCCATTTTTAACCCTAAAAACTTAAAATTTTACATTTTCTTTCCAAACCATTTTGTAGAGCTTAAAAAAACAAATAATTTAGTATAGCCTACTGAAGCGTTATTATGCGCCTAATGGTTGCGGAGAAAATTCAAAAAAACTGTAAATTTAAAATTCCCATGTTATTCTTATGGAGAATAAGTTAACTGTTGTAGTTTGCTTGTTTATGAACATATTTTGATCAAATTTGGAAAATGCATTCATTTCATTCTAAACTATTAACATTTTACAAAAAAAAAACACATTTTTACCCTCCCTGTTGCAGCAAACCTGAGTACTCGTTAAATTAATGTTATTTAAATAGGGAATAAATGTGATATTTTTAAGGAGACATTTTTGTGTAAATCCAATCAAGCAAATGGAAATTCGCTTAGTCTGCAGGTTTGCTGCGGCGGGGGTATTTTATTGATTGTGTTCTCTCCTAACAACGTTGAAACGACACATAGACTTTGAAATCGATTGAAAAAGATAAGAGACTACACTCACGAACAACTTGCTCATTAAAAATGTATAAAATGACATAACGCAAAACTGTGATATAATTTTCAGGATTGGTTTTGGTATTAAACAGGTGACTTTCTTCACAGTTTATTTTCATTCGCTGACTAAGGAGCAGTCAGGACCATATTGTGTTTTCTGTTCTGTTTACTTTAGCGCTGCTATTTCGGTGACGGTATCACCGCCCTCAGTTTTTGGAGAACACGTAAATCACAGATATACCTAGTTGGAACCTGTTATCTTGTCAAAGTTGCTGATCTAGTTTATGTCAATAATAAATAATTTTACGTAAGTTAAAATCAAATTTGTGCTGTTATAAATAAAAAAGTTAACACAACGCTGTACGTAACAACAATTTAAAGCTTGACTGGTGTACTGTGCATTACAAATATATACCACAGAAAACATATTACTATAACCATGTTTTCTGTGTATATACTGACGTTACTGACAACCATAGATCTCTATGTTGTATTGTATAGAGATCTATGCTGACAACCGAAGTTATGCTTCCTGACTGAAAAATAAACAACAAAACTGTGCTTTATATAACGAAAGTTGGCAACAATGCTGTGCTTTAAAACAATAAAACTAGCGACGATTATGTGCTTTTAAACTACAAAATTGGCAACACTGCTGTGTTTTTAAACTAGGTTTATACAATTGGCAAAAATGCTGTTCTCTAAAACTATAAGATTTTCAACAATGCTTAGAGTAGGCCTAACTATACAATTGGCAACGATTTTCGCAATGTTTGCAACAATGCTGTGCTAGTATATTTTCTTGAAGTAGCATGTTTTGTCTATTTTACTACTTTTAAAATTGTACTAATTTCAGGGTTCACAGTTGTTTTTATTTTACTACCTGGTAAAATGTGATGCTAAACTATTTTAAAGCGCTCAAACTAGTAGCATGACGTCTATGAAATACACCAAATGCAAAAGTTTAATAAAGTACGTTGTTTGTTTTATGGAGGTTTAGAGGGTGACGCAAAACGTCAATGGTTTGGTATTTACTTGGCATTTGCCTTGGACTGACCATTTAATGGCCGACAACTAAACGACTAAACCCAGAACAGAAGCTACTAGGCCTACTGTATGAGTCTAGTCAATTCGGCGTCCGTATTTTATCGATCTCGGCAATCTCGTCGCGCCGGCACAGCTGACAGAACAGGGAATCCCGCCAACACAACACTTGACTCGGCGGGGGATACTTGGTCGTACTAGGCCCTTTTTCATTTCAGTAAAAACACGATTGTAAAAACTGATATCGGTATAGGCCTTTTAAAAAACCAATTTTTTTTAACATGATTTTTAATAATTACTAATACTGACTTCATGATAACTGACTACTCCCGAATTAGTTTGGAAATTAGTTATTTGACAAGGACAAATTTGGGAGAGCGGTCAAACGCATACTTTTAGAACAAGCTCCCTACACTATGAAAGATTTTTTAAGTTGCCGATGGAATTAAGATACTGCTCTGTTACGTTTTAGTTCTTATAGTATTTAGAATTTAGTTTTATTTTATATTCTTGTGACGCTACAGTTTTTCTGTGCGAAATAAATTATGATTTGATGTGATGAGTTAGACCATGAGCAAGCTTTTTGTATAAACTGAGCCTGAATTAACTACAGTTGCAGGATTCACGAAGTGCGTCCAGTGGGGTCTTGGTGCATCTTATGTGAGGATTCAACCGAAGTTAACCTGTTTATCGTCATCATCAATTAGGCCTACACTACAAAGTATTTTGGTTACACTTTGGAAGTGTGGAAACTTAGCAAATAATGTTTACTGTTTTCCACAAGACCTTCTTTGGCAACTTTTACAAACGTGATACATACCAGTAACTCATAGGTTTCTTATTTCATCTTGGTATCGCTTTTTAGCGAATTTCCCATATAGGGAATAAGCTATTACCGTAGTACTCATGGTAAGAGCTGGACCCGGGACCAATTTTTTTTCGTTTTGAGGTCCCAAGAGGCCAAAAACACCATCCGTTCAAATTCATATATATATATATATATATATATATATATATGTGTGTGTGTGTGTGTCCGTTAGCGCGATAACTCGAGCAAAAATGATCCGATTTTGATGAAATTTGGTACAAACGTGTAAACCTACGTTTATTCGAACGAGTTCGCAAACCAGCATGATCAGACCATGGGAACGGGGGTTTATGGGGGCTTTTATGGGGTAAAAATGGGTTTTTCCCATTTTTGACCCAAAAAACATAAAATTTTGAAATTTCTTTCTAAACTATTTTGTAGAGCTTAAGAAAACAAATAATTTAGTATATTGAAGCGTTATAATGCGCCTAATAGTTACGGAGAAAATTCCAAAAAATAGTAAATTTAAAATTTCTATGTTATTCTTATGGAGAATAAGTAAACTGTTGTAGTTTGCTTGTTTATTAACATATTTTGCCCAAATTTGGAAAATGTTTTTATTTCTTACCAACTATTAACATTTTACATAAAAAACACTTTTACCCTCCCTGTTGCAGCAAACCTAAGTATGTTTTAAACTGATTCTTTTTAAATAGGGAATAAATGTGATATTTTTAAGGAGATATTTTAGTGTAGGGTAAATCCATTCAGGGAAATGGAAATTCGCTTAGTCTGCAGGTTTGCTGCGGCGGGGGTATTATGGTCTTGGTATAGCAACTTTATATTTGAAAATTTCCAGAAAAGTCCAATTTGGCGTTCCAAAAGAGTCCAACTCATGCAAATTCATGCAAATTATAGCAGATTTCTTTATAAATAAAATAAACAAAAGAAACCAATTATATGGTATGAACAGCTATTTTTAAATATGCCTACAGTAACCTGAATGGAAAAGTGCTCATCTGTGCACAAGAATCACTAAAACTTTAGCCTACACTTTGAAATTCACAAGATTCGGGCAATGAATTCAAACCACTATGTTTCGGGTCTCTTGTGCCAGTTTGAACTCATTCCCATTCAGGTAACCCTTGCTTTCCTCACAAAAAATCTTTAAACTTCACACTGTTAGACAAAATTAAGTTGGAATTTCATTTTATCTGGCACTGTACTCTGATAGTATTTTCAACTAGGCCTAAAGCATGTTTGAGTGGGGAATAAAGAACCAATACTTTTGTATTTCTTAGGCCGCTGTGGACCAGGGTTGCCACCTTAGGTCAGGGAAAAATCGGGACATTGCCCCCTCCCTTTCGGATTAACATAGGCTTAAATACGGGCATAAGGAACCAAAACCGGGACTGTGCCGGCAGAATCGGGATGGGTGGCAACCCTGCTGTGGACCCACTTACTCTTAGCTAGGCCTGCTATTTTATCAAAAGTCCTTAAATAGGTTATCAACAAGTAGACCTTTCTGCTCGGCTTGATTATGTAAAGGTTGTTATATGACATAAATCAGTATTTAACAGCAGCACATTCTGTTGGAGGTTTAATTTTATATGATTGTTTTCATTGTAAATTTGACTTCAACTGTAGGCTATATGGAAATGGAAAGTCTTCATCTATACATTGTAAATGGTCTAAGGTTCTTGAACAATGGCATGCTGACAGTAAATAAATGTTTCCAAAGAAACTGTTTAGGTACTTAATTCATTCTTTGGCATTTAGGTAGGTACGGTACTTAATTCATTCTCTGACAGAGTAAATTACGGTAATGCAAGATGAAATTTTTCCTCCCTGTTACAATTATTGTGAGGAAGAATACAGATTCAAGAAAGCTAGGCCTAAGTATATTTATTTGCGCTTTTTTAGAGTGTAGCCTACAAAGTAGAGCAGTTCTGTAAGATGAAACATCTAGTGAAAACTTGGCAGAATTCTCCCGTTCTTATCACTATTGCTATAGTAAGCAACCAAAACCAACTAGCAGCTCCTGAGTGAAATGGGAGGTTATATAAACTACACAATACCTGATGTTGTATTGCTTCAGTAAAACAAAAAGGAACCACATAGTAAAAAGTTGTTTAGAATTAAGTACCTACGGATTTGCCATGGAAAAATGTGTGAGAAACATGATGTAGGCCTAATGTAGCTGAGATGAACTTCAATTATGGATGAAGAGATTGAATTTCTGAGAAACTTCATGAGTATGAAACCTAAGAGTTCTGCAACATCACTGTGAGCCGATGTGTGCCAACAAGAAAAAGTCCTGAAGAAGATAAAACCACAGAAGGCCTGTGAGTAAGAATCAACTTGTTAGTATTAAGTATTCCATATGTATATGTAGTATTAAGTATCTTTTGTACTCTACCTATAGTATAGATTTAGTAAGATCCATGCGCTTTCCTACTTCAGCGTCATAGGGAGTGTTCCCGGGTGGCGGATAGGGGGATGGTCGGTGGATCTGCTTGTCCGTCCTACCAGCTAGGTCCGATGGACCCGCTGACCAGAAGTGCGGTCCTCCATTCATATTGGGGGTTGAGGCGATGGGTCCTTGTAAAACCAGTAACCAGGGTGCCCTGGTTAAATGTATCACCAACAGAATGACTTGGAAAGGATGGATCACAGTGAACAACAACCTAAACTGTGTCATCAGGACTTCAGATTTGAAGCTGGAATGTTCGCTCTCTGGCAGTGCCAGGTGCTGTGGAAATAGTAAGCAGGGAACTGGAAAAGTGCAAAATGGATGTGGTAGTCCTGGAAGAAAGAAGGTGGCCATTTAATAGCTAATCATTAACACTGGAAGTTTCATGTTATAGCCTACTATAATGGTAGAGATGATGGCATACATCAAGCAGGAGTGGGATTTGCTGTCAATATAAAGATTACATTATAGACTCTATCCATAGGCCTAACGAAACATGGGTGTCACCAGACAGAAAAACTGGAAATCAAATTGATCACATATTAATTCAGAAAAGACGAAGCAGAAGTATTTAGGCATATATGTTAAAAGCGTAAGAGGTGTTGAATGTGTTTCAGACGATTTTCTATTGCTTGCAAAAATAAGGCAAAGGCTATGCAAAGAAAAAAGGTAGATTAACAAAGTGGAAATGAAATTAGATGTTAACCAACTAAAAAAAAAGGATTTTGTACATTGAAACTAAGATATAGATTTCCGTCATTAATAGAAGAAACCCATGTTCCAAGAAGTTGATGATTTTTGTGATAACTTAATTTACCCTAAACTCAAGATATTTCAGTGGATGTCTCAAAAGAAGTCCTTGAACCCTTTAGTTAATAGATAAGGCCTTAAGGTTCAACCAAAGTTGTGAAAAAAATAGTCAAGGAGGGTAGTAGTAGTAGTAGCATTAAGAAAAATCCTCTGTTAAATAAACAGCATTAAGCTTATAGCTTATTTTTTAAATAAAATATAGAAGTTTTCAAAGTTCCGGATGATACTTTGGTATAAAAGTAAAGGTTTACAGCCAATAATAATATAGACTAGGTTCTAGGTAGCCTACATTAGTTGAGTACCTAACATACATACTTAGTTACACTAAATTTGGTTAAGTACTGTAAGTTTAACAAGAGTTGCCTACTAAACTCGTAAATCGTGATTCATTACTATACTTGATCAAGAACAATGAGTTATGCAAAAAAAAAAAACACCACACCTAGGCATAGGACAAATAAATTCTCCTGAATTCATGAACAAAGTTGAAAGGTTTTAAAGGTCCATGGTCAAAATAAAAATATAGCCTATTTAAAACAAACACCAATTTCAGAAAACTGCACCCTATCCGGCATAAGAACGAAACTAAAATCTACTCCTTTCTGTTAAAATTATGACAAAGAAAGTTAATATTTTATCAAAATAATCACAAAATTACAAATTGCTCTCTTGTTGACATGATATAGATACTTACTGAAACTCAGAATCTTCCCAGCTTAATCCATCAATTAAAAACAGACACAAATTCACCCACTCAAAACTGGCTATGAATGATTTACGATAAAAACAAGAAATAAACACTAATAAGTTAAATATTTATAATTTCAAATGAATGTTGCACTACAAACTCTACCGAATACCCCGTCTGACACTGACTGCGACTAGGACTAGACGTCATAGCTCGTACATAGGCAAGGCATTACAAAAATACGACGAGAATAGAATCAGCAGAATAGACCACGGGGGAAATTGTAAAACGAGCAGTTTAACCAACGCCACTCAATAACCCAATAACACTCCTCTCGATATATAAAAGTGAGTACTGTAATAGCATATTGGATTAATGATCAATGGTACTATCATAGACTAGTATGTTTTATTCTGCACATTCATGTAAAGACAGATGTATAGAATCATAAATAGGCCTATTTCTCTCATGTCTACTTTTAGTAAAGTAATTGTGAAGTTACCCTATTGTGTTTAATACAATTTTTTATGAACACAAAATTTTGTCAGATTTTCAGCATGGCTTTCGAAAGGGTCAGAGCACTATATCACTGCTGCAGCTGCTGTCAAATTTGTTCAAACTACTCTTGAAAAGCTTGATGAGGGTTGTAAAGTGGCAGCGCTTCTGCTAGACCTTTCTAAGGCCTTTGATCGGGTTGGGTTGACCATTCGATTTTATTGGCTAAACTATTTGGTTATTAATTTCCAGCATGGTTAGTGAGTCTGGTGGGATATTTTTCATTTCATTTTATTTCAATATCTTTATTCAATATTTGTAAATTGTACATCGAATAGTGTCAAATTCCTAACCTAGTAAATACAGTTATAAGCTAAAATTACAATGTATACATAATAAACAAACAACCAATAAAATCAGATTATTTGAGGAAACACCTCTTTAATGTCATCTCCCATGGCGTTCCGCAGGGCTCGGTCCTTGGGCCCCTGGTTTTCCTGGTTATGATGAATGATGTCAGTTACAATATCGATGGTGGTGCTGTTTGCTAAGCAGATGACACCACCCTCATATGCAAGAGTCAACATTTTGAGAATCTCAATGACGCCATAAGTGGTCCCTAGATTCGGCCGAAGACTGGTTCCGGGCCAATTACTTTTTATTAAACAGAGAAAAACACAAACCGTAGTTTTTACACTAAAGCATGTTGCTACAAACAGTGAACCTGTGAAATTATTATGAATAACACTTGATAGCAAACTCACTTGGAGTTCTCATATTTCTGGTGTGTGTAGTAAATTATCTGGAATCATGTGTTTGCTTAGGAATTTAAGCTATTTAGTTACAAAGCCATACCTTAAGCAGGCTTACAGTGTTTTTTTTTTCCAAGGAACCATTTTACTTTATGGACTGCGATTGTGGGGTGGAGCTGCTGATGTTAGTAGGGTTCTCTTGTCGCAGAAGAAGGCTATCCGCCTACTGGTACATTATGTTCTCGTTGCTACTAGCTGGTGCTGACTACCTTGCACACAGTAAACCACTGTTTATTAATGAGACCATCATGTCTATAGCTTATATGTATTTCTGCTTTTGCTTTCAGCTAAAAAATGCCAAGGTACTTTAGTCAGTAGAAAGATGTACACTGTCATTATATATATCATTATATATGTATATATTTGAACGTTATGAACTCCGAAACCGCTCACAGATTGTAATGAAACTTTCAGGCATTATTAAGCATTATTCAAGGATGGTTTGTGTGAAGTTTGGTGCAGATCCGTCAAAAGGGCTCCGCCCCAGTGGCTCTGGAGTTTCCCATGTTAACGTTATGAGTACTTTATATTTAAATGGAATTAAAGAATCTTAACAGCAGCTGGTTCAACTAAACAATTAGATTCTATGATGTTCAATAGCATTAAAAAGTTAATAGGTTTACCAACAGGGTGCAGTACTATTATTTTTTGTTAATTTATGAAAACAGCTAATTTGCAACCAAATGGTGAGTGAGCGTAGCGAACGAACTTCAACCTTGAGGCGAGTTATTATAGTGTAGCAAACGAGCTAAACCTGAGGGCAAGTGAGCTCAGCAAACGATCTCCAACCTAAATGTGAGTACGCGTAGCAAACGAACTTCAACCAGGACATGATTGAGTGATGCGAACTAGCTCATCTTGAAAATTGACGACCATTTGACATAAATAATAGAGATCGATGCATATAAAACCACATTAGGACAGAACGACGTCTGTCGGGCCAGCTGGTGATTGTATATATTGACTTAATTGTATTTTTTGACGATGCGCATTGCATTTTGTACAATGCTTAAAGGAAAATAAATCTTATTTTATTTAATTTCATTTCATTTCATTTGATGGAGTAAGGAGCGATTTCTATTACATAATTTTTAAATTTGTTTTTAATTTGATGTTGGGTTTTATATGATTTGGAAGAAAACGTAAAAACCTTCTTCCAGCACAGGTGGGCTTTTTATTTGAAAATAAAAGATGGTTGCGACTACTTTCTCTTAGGGCTTTTCCTCTTGTATTGTAGCATAAATGTGCGTTATCTGGTATACTTTCTCTCGCAATGAGAGCAGTTTCAAAAATGTATTGAGCAAAGACAGTTAGTATTTACAATTTTTAAAATGAATTTTAACACATTCATAATTTTTATGTACCATCATTGTTCTTAATGCCCTTTGCTGTAATTTTAAGATTCGAGTAAGATTTTTCTTTGTTGTAGCTCCATATAAAGATATACCGTATGAAACGTGGCTATGGTCAAGATAATGATATATTGTTTTCAAAGTGCACTGATATTACATAGAAAAGACATCTTTTTCAATGCAAATACCCCTGAATTTTTCTTTGAGCAAACATGATCGACGTGGTCCTTCCAGGTTAGGTGTTTATCAATTTTTTTACCTAAAAAATCAATTTTTTCAACTTGTTTGATTTCATCAGAATCCAAAATGATCAACGGTTCTATTTTGTTTCTACAAAACGAAATTTTGGACAATATGCATTTTTCTATTGCTTAGTTGAAAATCGTATACAATTATTTTTACTTTGGTTTATTTCGAGATTATTGGATAGTAAGCAATTTTTAATATTTGCAACTTCTATAAAGGTATCTATTTCGATGTGTTCTACTGTTTTTCCTGTAATTTTCAAGTTAATGTCATCAGCATATAAACACATATTTCCACAAGGTACACACGGCAGTGAATTTGTAATTTTATCAATGTAGCAAAGGAATAAAACAGGGCCTAGTATTGAACCCTGAGGGACATCAATGTGATTAGGTTTTATTTCTTATCTGTTTTTTACCAACCAATTATTATTTTTATTAGACGTGATTTCAACGTTTTGCTTTCTATCCGATAAATATGATTTGAACCACGACAAAATGTGACCTCTTACTCCCATATCTTCTAGTTGGAGTATTAGAGTTTGGTGACATACCCTATCAAAAGCCTTCGTAAGGTCCATTGATATTCCTATAACATTTTCGTGGCTATCAATATTGAATTTATTATACTTTCAAAAAAACTTGAAGCAGCTGTAATTGTTGATCTGCCTGAGCGAAAACCATGTTGGCCACCAAACAGAAGGTTGTTATTTTGTATAAAAGACACAAGCCTAATTTTCATTGCCTTTTCAAATAATTTTGCAATAACTGGCAGAAGTGATATTGGTCGATAGTTTTCTACGCACTGAGGGCCCCCTTTTTGAAAATATAAAAAATCGTATATAAAAATCGCAAACAACGCACTACAGTCTCTTTTGATGATGGCACGACAGTGAGAGAATATAGGTCTGGGTCTGAAACACGGGTTGGTGAAACATCAGGGGTCCCACAGGGCTCAATTATAGGACCTTTTTTGTATATAGTCTATTTAAATAGTTGGTATTGTCATGGATAATGTATTTGCATATACAGTATGTACGCAGATGACACTTGGGCTGTGCTGGGCAAACAATCTGGCGAATCTAAAAGCTTTATTAATAAATTTTGCTGAAGCTGCCAAAAGCTTATTTTTTTTAAATATATCTAAAGGTAAACTTAAGTAAGACACTGTTCTTGTAATTTTCTCAATTGGTCACAGTGTTCCAGCTCTTAGCATTGCATGTGAATATATGACTCTGGATGGCAATGATTTTTGTAAATTTCTTGGTAGGCTATATTTTTTGACAAGCATTTTAACATGGGACAAACACGTATTGATCATGTTGGTGCTAAGGCTTTGAGTGGAATTTCTCTGTTAAGAAGGCTGTCAGACTACTTGGACGATGAAATTTTAAGGGCTGTTTACTTTGGAGTGGTATATCCATATTATTTAGCTTATGGACTTGTCTTGTGAGGAGGTTCTTTCCATTCATATACCTACAGGATTTTTGTATTACAGAAGAGAGATCTACGTTTAGTTGCAAAGGTTAGCCCGAGGACTCCAAATAAAGTTATTTTTGTTTCACATAGTATTATGACTTTGTACGTAATACACTTTGTATACTTTGTACAAAATAAATTAGGTACATTCTCCTGAGGATACATGATTCACGATAAAAATATGATATCACGCTATAGCTTTGGCCGCTGCCTTTGAAGTGGCAACATCGCAAGTGGTGTTGTAACAGTTGTTTTGTTTGGAATCAGCTAATGGTATTTGTGTATTTTACTAACAATACGAAAGCTTGGTTACTGGACTATGCAAATATTGACTCAACTTTAAATGTACAAAAATAGATTTTCAATTTTAATATTGTTTTGGTTTTCAATTCTATACGTTTTATTTTCAGAGTGTTGCCTTGCACCTGTCCACCATGTTATATCTTAAGGGACGTTTGGCGCTAGACAACATTACTTGCAACTTGCAACGTTGCCAATTCTACCAGGTCGCGGCCTGTAGCACGGCCCCCTTCAACTCCAGGCCACGGCATGGTAGAATTGGCAACATCGAAAGTTGGGTAGTTTTTGTTTAGTGTCTGACGTCCCATAAGATAACATGGCAGACAGGTGACGTCAGCGCATTAATTCGCACTTTCTTGATTTAAATTTATAAACATAAATTTATTAAAATATTGAAAATAAAACATACAGAAATGAAAACCAAAAACAATATGAATTGAATATCTATACTGTATCTGCACATTTTAAGCGGAGTCAATATTTTCCTAGTCCTGTAACCAAAGCTTTTGTAAATACACAAATACCATTTATTTGCTGCTTCCAATTAAAACATCTGTTACAACCCTACTTGCGACGCGACGTTGCCACATCGAAAGCTACGGCCTGGAGTTGAAGAGGGCCGTGGCTTTTCACGTATAATCAGACATATTGGAATAACAGTTTTTCCTTAATGGTGGTAGGAAAAACTGGCAGAAAAACTGTTCTTCTTTCAGATTACTATGCAGTGGTTTTCCCCTATCTCTCATATGCAGTCACGGTATGGGGATCTGAAACATGTGCAACAAAACATATTTTTGCGCTCCAGAAAAAGGCAGTGCGGGTTATTGCTGGCATTGGTCGAAGAGATTCATGTAAATCTGCTTTCATTCAATTAAGAATACTCACTTTTCCTTGCATCTATATCAACAACACTTTGATATTTTTAAAGCAAAACCGTAGTTTTTTTATACCTTTATTCCCTCACTCCAATTACAATACTAGGAAAAGAACCGATTTAAATATCCCACAACACAAAATTTCCTTTTTTAAACGCCATGTGTTTTACTATGCTATAATGTTGTTTAACTCGCTGCGCAACAAGCTCAAGTCAATAAGAGACATCAGCGTATTCAAAGGAAAAATTAAAATATATTTCTAATCGAAAAACGTTTTTATTCTGTAGAAAGTTATGTTAAAAATTGGTGGTAAAGAGGTTTGTTACTTATGTGAATGTTGTATTTTATTTATTGTATTTGAATAATGTGACTCAAGCCATGCATGTTACCGTGTTTTATACGGCAATAAAGAATTATTTGTTGATTTGATTTGATTTGAGGATTGTAAAGGCATTAAGGCATTGTTTCATTTATCTTGCCTGCCTACTGCTAGTTAGATACGCATTATGGTTGGTTCCAAGTAGTTCGCTCGCACTTGGCCATCGCCTTTACTCCTTCCTTCGTCTTCTTCTCTTTCTTCTTCTTCTTTTAACTTCCTTCTCTGTGTCGAAGTGTACGGTCTCATTAGGTTAGGATGGTGAGTTTTTCTCAATTATTAATATTTTTATTTAGTAATATGAAAGTATGCCACCGTGAATTCGTGTAAGTATACTCAATTATATGTCCTATCTACAACCCATTGTTGATAAGACCAGCTTCTGTTTTTATATCTCTTTCTTCCACGCCACATGGGATTACCACTGTAGGGTAGGCAATAGGCATAGGTCTTCTGTTACTCGAGTGCAATAGGAATATTCGTTAACATTTTTAGAATAATGAATCGTACCAGCTATAGCATGGGATAGCCTATTCATTTAAGTGAGTTATGCCTAGATCATTAGGCCTACTGCCGAATAATTTACATAGGCCTACCCTTAGCATCTTACATAATTATCTAACTAAGGAGTAAAACAAACCAGTTTAACTTTTGATATCTTAATTTCCATTGGCCAGGCATAATGCTTATATTCCTTCACCAGCCAAGATGGTTGGCCTAGGCCTATGTTAAGTTACTGGTATGCATTTTGGCAGGCTAGTGTTTACTCTTTTCCCGAGGCCAAGAGGTTGAGATAGAGTTGGCATCACTCTATTCCAGTGTTTCCACACGACCAAAAAAATAATCCTGCTCACTCACTGGGTCAAGAAATCCTAAGATTTAACCCCACATATAGGCCCAACCAAAATGTTTGTCTATGTGTGTAGATTTGCAAATTGACCTTACATTTTTGAATAAGTTCCTTGGGCTCTGCCCCACTTTGGCTTTTAAAGTTCTCATGTTATCCTTATGAAAAACATGTTTGTTTACATTTGATCAGCTGGATAGCTAATTTAATTGCTGTAAATATTTTAGTTGCAATTTAACCCTCCCAGTGTTACTTGACGAAAATTCGACAAGCAGCACACTTTGTGTAGTGTTACTTGTCGATTTTTCGACACGCAGACATCGTTTACAGCGAAGGCTCTATGACTGACTGAATCGGATTGAACTGGATCGAGTTAGGTATCGTTCTTTCCGTAATATTCTAAGCTTTCTCCAGAGGTCTGTCTCAGCGCTGTACGTTCTCTGAGCCGATCGTAATTGTAGCAGACAGCTGACGTGCGTGTATTTGTAAACAGCTAGGTTACTCGGACCGATGACTGATGTGTTTTATTACGTTTATCATTGTTTTAGTGTTAAAAATCAAAAGTAGTGATATAGGCCTACGTGTTGCATTATAAGAAGATTTAAGTGGTTTTGAAGTGCTGGTTGATGATCCTGAAGAAGTAGGTAGTGATATTGATGTAAATTATCGGCCAGATTCCTAGCTATGGTTAGGCTATGCATTCTTAGCTAAACGCTATGTACTGAAATCTGTTTTTTGCCCATAACTTATTTATTTGCAAATCTACTTCCTTATATTATTATATACTAGCTGTGTACCCGTTCTACGCACGGGGATCTTATAATATTCAGTTGAAACCTTCTTATATAACGAACAGCAGTTGGTTTGCATATTTTAAGATATGCTGGCCAAACTATTATACATAGCTTCATTTTATGTTGTTTTTTGTTGTTCCGGATCGGTATGACAATCAATAAAAGGTTAAATTACCTCTGTGTCTGCCGGTCGATCCTATAACGGTAGGCTTACTTTTATTTTTACTATCTGATCTCGTTTGCATGGCTCAATCACGTCCTGGTTGAAGTTCGTTCGCTACGCTCACTCACCTGTATGTTGGAGCTCGTTCGCTGCGCTCACTTTCCTTCAGGTTAGCTCGTTCGCTACGCTCACTTGCCTTCAGGTTAGCTCGTTCGCTACGCTCACTCGCCTCCAGGTTGCAAATTAGCTGTTGTCATAAATGTAAAAGAAATAATAGTGCTAGTGCTGCCCCCTGTTGGTAATCCTTGTAACTTTAATGCTATTGAACATCACAGAACAGAACCAACTTGTTTAATTGAAACAGCTGTTAAGATTCAATAATTTCATTTCTCATAAGGTTAACATGGGCTTCCAGAAATTCCACGTCAAAAATCGACAAAAACTTGATTTTCAAGGGTTTACTGTTAAATATCTAACTGTCTCATATTCGATGAAATACGTCTAAAACCATCTCATATATGTATAGTATTTGGAAAATAAGTTTCAGGCGGGACAGTGCTATAGTTATTGAGGAGTAGTTGTAATAAAGTGTGTATTTTAGCGTTACCAAGAGAATGACAGATAGACAGACAGACAGACAGACAGACAGACAGACAGAAATTGAGATAAGGTTTGATTCGGTTTCTCTGACCTATGAAATGTAAAAATAACCAAAAAGTTCATTATTCTAAGCAATGTACAGACAAAACTCTAATTTTATTTATATAGATAGATTTGTAATCCTCATAAAATTTAGAACAAAGTGGCTATTTTCAAATATTTATAGGCCTATAATTTATACAATTTCATTGAGCGCGAACTTATTTTTTTTTTGAAAATTTTTGAAATTATATTTTTTTTTACCTAAAATTTTTTTTTTTTGAAAAAATGTTCCTTATGTTTTATATATAATATTGAAGCCCATGATTTTCCAAACAAAATGGTATATAGAACATTAGAATTAACATTGTTTTAAGCTTCTCAGATCCGTTTTAATAAAACCTTGCAAATGCGCCAAAAATAGGTGGACATTAAGGCCTAAACTATGGACACTTGGAGGGTTAAGGAAACATATGCTAGGCTACAAACCTTTAGGCTCACTGACTTGGTTGAAATAAAAAAGTTACTATTTGACTTTGGGTTCCGTGGCAAATATTTACCGTAGTTACACTGGGATATTATGTAATTTTTAAAGGTCTACTTACAGTATTTTTCACGCTGAATCCAAAAATGCAATCAGTTTTTGTCTGAGAGATTCCTAAGTAGCCGTAGTGGCCGTAAAACGAAGGTTAATATTACGAACCTAAGGATAATTGAGCGGTAATGAAGGTAATGGTAATATTGCGTGGTCTGGACGGGTCCGTACTGAGTGAGGAGTGAGTGAGAAGAGCAAACAGCTGTTTATAGGCTACTTGATCTAATGCGGAATGAAATCAAATCAATTAGTTTTGAAACCAAATAATCACTTCTTACTTCACTCGTGAAGTAAAGAAGTTGTTTACATCACTTTTGGGATACATAGGGAAGTTTAAGATGGCGGGTTGGGTAAAGTCAGTTTACACATTCTTTGCACCATTGGCCTTGGTTTTCTTCACACATCACCCTGGAGCAGCGGCTGCAGAAGTGTCAACCGGCGTTTCTTCGAAGGGCAGAAGCAGCATTTTTTTGGTCCTTTTTGTTGGTTTGGAATATCTGGGGTAGCAGGAACATTTAAACTTTGAGAATATTGGCATTTGTTTGTCTTTGAAAGGCCATTTCAAATATTGTATTTGCTAACGTTAATTTGAGTAGTTGACAGTTTATAATTTAAATTTTGGCAAACTGCTTTCTTGAGAGGGGCTTTTCTCCCTTAGAAACTAGGTTGTGCACATATGTAACATATGAGTTACCAACATTCAAAATTATCCTTAAAATACACAAACATAATCGTAAAATCAACATAAAAAATGCAAACATAAAAATCACATTAACGGTAACGCTTTATCAATCTGACTACTCACCACTATTGTACATGAATTACTGCGGGGGTTGCAAATTCCCATCACTCACATGTCTGGCGGGATGGCAACTGAGCTGGCGTCGGCTGAGAGGAAAAACAAATACCCTGGTTTGAGCACCAAATTCAAAAATGTGAATAGAGTAGTCTCTGAGACGATGGGTTACCAATCTAGGGTTAAATTATAACTTAAGTTAGGTAAGATTACATAAATTTAAATACCCCCGCCGCAGCAAATCTGCGGACTAAGCAAATTTCAACTTGTCTGATACATTTTTAATAAAGTCTTACTAATATTATAAATCTAACAAAAAAACCACTAAGTGGTAACACTTTCCCCGCCAAGTCAGCAATCCAAAAAAAGATAATAAATCATTACTTTTTCCGCCAAGAAAAACAATGTAATGTATGTAAGTTTGGCAACTTGGCGGCAGACTTTTGCTTGGTTTTTTTCATTGAAGTTACGCTCGTGGATAATTTCACAAATTATCTTCTCTAATTAATTAGTCCAACTAAGTATAATAATTTCGAGGTAATCAGTAGGTAAATATAAAACCATCACTATGACGAATTTATGAAATGTGGCACAAATAAGGTCAAATTTTGTAAAATAAGCTCTCACCTAGCAATGTACTAATGGGAGAGATACTTGCTCAATGAAACTAGTTTTATGGTACTTTTTAAAGTGATCGAGCAAAAGTCTGCCGCCAAGTTGCCAAACTTACATACATTACATTGTTTTTCTTGGCGGAAAAAGTAATGATTTATTATCTTTTTTTGGATTGCTGACTTGGCGGGGAAAGTGTTACCACTTAGTGGTTTTTTGTTAGATTTTATTTATTTTTGTAGAAAATTAACAGTTAAAATAAAAATCCTCCTTTCTCTGATATATAGACCACGGCACAACTACATTTCATTTAAATTCAATAATATTGTTTGTGTAGAACTAAATTCTACATTTTTGGTCTTATCTGCTTTAAACCGATTAAAAACTTTTTGACCCACGTACCAAAATTACTATTTAACAAACCCCCTGGGCTTAAACTCAGTTTCAAATTTCATCAATGGTCATCTCGAACAACATGAAATGCGTTGGTGTTACATAAGTGTTCTGATAATTAAACCCGTGCATCTAAAGACTAGTGTAAATTGAGCCCTTATTAGAGAAGTAAAAATGTAATCAAACAGATTAAGTTTGTTAGAAATAGCATAAACAAAACAAATATTGAAAAACTCATCTATCCTAAATTTACATATCCCTTTTTAATTGCTTGTTTAACATACGTAGAGTGATTTTCCCGATTGTTTTATTTGTTTTAGTGTATCAAAACATAAAACAAACCTTAGTACTAGTACTAAGTTTCAAGTTCCTAGGTTTCATATGTTTTAATAAGTAGTATTAAACTGTTAAAAATGACGAGC